ATGTCGCTCATTATGTGGAATTTAAAAAATATTTGGTTCTCTGTCTTACTCAATGGTAGTCCAGTGTGTCTCTTTCCATCCTCAAGGGGCATCAAACGGGGGATCCACTCTCACCTTTTTTTTTGCTTATTTTGAAGTTCAAAGCACTCTCACGAAGCTTGAAGGTTCTGACTGAAAGTGGTAAAATTTCTACATTTGGTGTTCCAGCTAATACTTATGTAGTATCTCATTGGTGTTTCGGCGACAATTTAATAATCTTCACAAGGCTTCCAAGAATTTGAACATGTTTCTGGACAACACATGAACAAGCAGAAGAGTTTTTCCCTAAATTTAGAGACTTGTAATGTCTCACATGTCAGATGGTATCTTAAGTCCTAGGTATGCCAAGGGGGATGCATTGTATTTAAAGGAAGGAAGAAAGTTGTATACTTTCAGTCACTATTAGAAAGCTTTGATACGAGATTAAGGAGTTGGAAAAACTCACTTCTTACAGTTGCAGGAAGACTTATTGGATAAAGCATGTCCTCGCATCTATCCCGATACATAATTTTGCAGCAATATCTCCGCCAAAATCTACCTTAAGAACTCTTTATTCTAAGTGCCAAAAAATCATAGGGGGGATATAATGATCAAGAATCAAAAAGACATTGGAGATCAAGGAAAAGAATTACTTTTTCAATGCAAGAAAATGGGCTCGGCATCCGTGGATTCCAAGAGATGATCGATGCATTTTTGATGAATTTATGGTTGAAGCTCAAGACTAAAACAGGAGTTTGGGCGAAGTTCATCTTATCCCTATTGAATTCTTCAAAAGAGAGAACAAATTGGGAACGAGTTGGTGAGATAGAGATGGAGGTTTTGAATCATGCAACAGTACTTATCGGGAACGGTAATAGCTCCTTTTGATACATCAAATTCATTAGAAGAAGAGGGCCGGGATCTGGGATCTTTTGGTGATGACTTCCACGGGGATAGCTTCCACAATAACGTCTTCAGTTGTCAGCTTTCTTTTGATAATTCTTCCAGATTTATCTTTGATGAGAGAAGAAGAAACATTCTGCCTACAACGGATTGATACTTTCCTCTCTAGTTTCTTCACGGGGGAAACAACCAACATTTCAAGATTCACTAGAAAGGGACTAGAGGAAAGAGTTAGATTACCATGGGTTTGTGGTTTGGGGGATGGGGTTTGCTGTATGATAGGTTGGTTTTCAATGCGTTGAATGGCTGGAATAGGATACATGTTTGCTTCTCTTGCAGTAGCTGCTCTCCTCTCATGGATGGGAACAATCAGTTCAGGACACTATGGTTTGATTGCATTGAGGGGAGTTCAAAAAATTGATTGAGATGGTGTGGTCATCAGGAAGGATTGCTGGTTGCCTCCACCGTCAAGAAACGGCTGTATTCTAGAGGCCCCGGAGCAGTGGAAGAGGCGCTGATCTTCATGTTATATTTTGCATTTTCGTGACCAGTGATCCCACAAAAATAGCAAAAATCAGTCAGCCTCTCATAGCGGATTTCGATCTTAAGCGGCATTTCTTCATGACTGACTGTTATTGCTCTCAACAATGGTTGTTGGATGTCCAACTATACCTTGATACGAAGAAAACGCCCAATGCAAGAGCCTTCGCTATCGCAATAAACTTCAAGAAAACGACCAATGTTGTTGCCGGCAGTAGTTGCAAAATTTTTCGACATATGTCCCACCGAAAGACTGTGTAGTTGGATCCAAAGCAGGGAGTGTTTGAAAGAGTGCTTTCCAGCAATCACATTGGTAGTTTCTTCCTCAAGAATCAAAAGATGATCTTCTACAAACCAAGGAGCTCCTGATAAAACTCTTTTCTTATCTGGTATGTTGCTGAAACAAAACAATTATGTGTTGTCTCCAAGAGCATTCATTGTAAGGTTTCCTTTGAGATACCAGAAGTTCCGTAGCTTTTGTATATGATGGTGTAATGTGCCAGTAATTTGTTGAAAATCAATCTCCCCACTACGGCTTTTTCTGTATCATATTCAGGAGGCTCGATATTTTCCGACTCAAAGATTTTTGAATCTCTATGATTCAGCGGCAGTCTGGAAAAGGGATCCTCAATGGCTTCCTCCATCGCAAAAACCATTCATAACAATACTCCCTCCTTCAAAGAGGCTTGTCCTCAAGCCTAATGAAAGAAAAATATATGTTTTCTAAATAAACGTGGTTCTTGGTGTTCTTCATTTCATTATAATGACATTCTTCAACTCACCAAGTACCACTTAGAAACTTGTGCCCTCCTTGAATTCTATCACTGTTTTATCCCAAGCAAAGAGCAAATGTGCTTCCATGCAACTCTTGTTTTAATCCCTTGGCAGTTGGCTCAATGTGTTGAGTATTGAGTTCTTCCAGCAAGAACTTTGTACAAAGTGGTATGTCCTAATCAGAGAGACACCCATGAGTAGCAATCCTGCAGATTCCCGATTCTTAGGTAGTCTTAGATGATTCGACTTGGAAAACCCTATAATGATGTTACTTAGATCCCGACACAATGCAAACTTCATCTTCACAAATATTGAAGCAAAAGAAGGATTAGAACCTTAAGAAGATTGGCTGGTCCAGAGTACTCCAACTTCTATCCCCATTGTGTTCCCAAGAATTAAAGTTTACCAAAAATAAAGAAAGATTGTTACTTTTTTGCCAAGGTTGAATTGAGTCCTTGGTAGCCCCTTTATGCAATATTACGACTTTCCTCCAAGAATTACAAGCCATTTTGACTTGTATAGAGCTGTTTCTGCTTGTTAGAACTTCTCTAACTTCATCATCATAAAGTGGTAGAGATTCCACAACATTGACAACGTTAGAATTGGATTCACGTACCTGGTGGAGCTGTCGTTGAACCACTTCCTCAAAAGAAATATTTATAAACCTACTTAAAACTATTAGCTAGTGGTAAGTAGGGTCGTTCCACAGTGACGGCAGTCAAACCACTCAAAATCTGATTAAAGTGTAGAAAGAAAAAAAAAATGAGTTGAACAGATTGTCACTTAGGAGAGTGAGAGTAGACACTTGACAGAGTGAAGAGGCAGAAGGGTCAATCACCTTCCAACCCTTATGATCTAGTTTTGATTCAAATATTCCTGTAGTGTATGATTAGTTGTTCGATCAGGCACTTATATTCTTTATAATTCCTTCCAGGCAGAATAAAGAGTCCTATATTATCTAAATCACCTACCTTCCAATCAGAGTAATCTATAAATCTAAGCCATTGAGTTCTGAATCCCTTTTTGATCGCATATGCCATTCACCTAACTTTTGTTGATTTTTGGAACCGCAGGGTAAATTTCTTCCATTGTCATAGATTAGATTAAGCAGTTCTAAGGTTATGCTCCCACCTCCAGATCTTTATAACCATGCAAGCACATTTAATTAAGTGGGCAAGTTAATTAAAAGGTTAATTAAATCACTTATCTAGGCACACACCTCATCAAGAAAACTGAATCAAAACATTCACATAAAGATAATAGGGATTGAACCCTTAACTAAGTTAGCTACTCATGTTTATTGAGTTAAACATAAGAGCAACAAAGTACAAAAGATAAGACATGAATCTAGATCAAAAGGTTAGAGGAAAGAAAGGGAAGATGGTAGCAGGGACAGTTTCTGTCTGCTCACTATGACCAGTGGTGTTCGCCACTTGACAAAGTGACAGTCTGCCTCCTTGTTCCTGCTACTACCCGGTTTTTAAGCTACTAACTAACTACCTAACTACCGTCTTTGTGATTAAATCTAACTACCCAATCTGTTGTTTTTCTAACTGCTATTGGCTGACTATTTATAGAGATTTGGAGAAGCTTGAATTGGTTAGTTTCTGGCCTTCTTCTCTGCAGCAGAAAGGTGAGGCAGCAACTTGCAGCAGTAGAGGTTTGTTTATTCAGCAACTTGCCTATTTGGCAAGTTGCAGTCTTCTCTTTGGCTACTCCTCTTCAGCCGCAATCAGCCACCTTCCTCTCATCACTGCCTTCTTCATTTGCTCTTCTTCTTCGGCGCAGTTTCTCCAATTTCCAGTCACAAATCTCTATTTCTCCATTCTTCCTTCCATCATTGTGTTTCATCCCCCAATTCAGCCCAAATCTTTCTGCCTTTTCTTTCCTTGTTTCCTGTGGTCACTTACAACACCATTTCTTACCTGACTGCAGCAGCCAATCCATCAATTCAGCAGCAGCAGTCACAGCAGGTAAGTAGCAGGTTGTAGCTACTGTTTTCCACTCCCTCTTTCTCTTCTTCAACTTGCAGCAACTATAACTTGCAGTGGTGGCAAAGCAATTCCTTCCTTTGGTAGTAAAAATTCAGCCCTGGCTCTTCCTGATTGTCAGCAACAACGTGGTAGCAGAACAGTTGCCATTTCTTCTTCCTTTATTGAGGTGGCTACTGCAGAGTCCTCCACTTGAGTTTATCTGCTGTCAATCTTCCTTCCAGAACAAGGATTTCTCCACTTGCTTCAGCTCTGATCGATCTTCCAGTAGCTCAATTTTCAGCAGCTTCCATTCCAGTCCATTCTGATGCCTTTTTGTGCAATTTGACCCTCTTTTATGTTGATTTTCCATATTGGCCCTCTGAGAAACCTGAACTGCAAAATCACCCTAAAAGTAAACTTGAATGCAAAATCACCCTAAAAGTAAACTAATCCTAACTAATTGATACCTAATACTAAGTAAAAATAAGTAGAAAATGCCTGCTAAAAGTGTATATATTTTTCTGTCATCAGTACGCTAGTGTGAAGATGCACTCTTTTTTTTTTGTGGCATTGTGGAAGGAGATGTAATATAGCCAACATTTATAATGAAGGTGAACAAAGAAAGGGAGGAGATGATCATCCCCTTAAGATTTATTAAGACAGTGGCTAAATAGAGAGATGATCAATCCTCAGTATAACTGAGGGCAATGTCCCAATAGTGAGGGACCCATGCATCAGAAAAGACTTTGCCAGCAGCCACTTCTGGTGTGTCATTCACGAATAGAAAACCCATCAAAACTTGGTTTTAGCAACATAACCCTGCCACCCCAATGTGCACTTGTTGGCTGGAGAATGACCATCTTCGTCGTCTTTATTCTTTATCGACGCTGCCCAATCTATACGCCTTAGCATAAGTTGATCATATGTCTTGATTGATTTGTGACAGCCTTCCACAACCACGACACTGATGCCATGAGAAATCATCACAGCACAACCCGTCAACCGATTCTGGTGCTCGATTTTATGACGAGCCTGATGATTTGAAAGGCTACGGTTGAGTTTGTAAACGATACTATAGTTGCTTCCGCTTTATTGGAGTTATCGTCAAAGAGTGTCCTGTCTTTCTTCTCGCGGCGCTCAGCATTCCTGTCGATATGAGCTCGTTCCCGTTCACCAGCCGCGTCTCTGAATTCCCTTTCAACCTTGGTTGGATTCTGTGATGCTTCTGAAGCAGCAAAAGCAGTTGCAAGTTTCCCTGAACTGGAAGAAGCCCTGTTCAACAAAAGAAACTTCTCCTCCTTCCCATCCTCCAAAACCTTAGCTCTCTTGGCACCACCATGCTCCGTGTCAAGTGAATTGTCCCGATCGTCTGCTTTCCCTGTGGTTGGAACTGACATGTTGATGTTTTTTGTGATCCTAATCGGAATCTCCATGTTTCCGGATGGTTTTTTTCCTTCTCGAAGCCCTATCCATTGTCCCTAACTCCCGATTACCTCCCCTAAAATACTTTATAGGTAAGAAAGACGATATAATTTTGGAAAAGAAGCGGTTCTTGTAGAAATTGGAACGGCTACCATATGGATTTATTCGATGGTGTTCCCAATGTCCTATTTTCGTCTAGAATGTTCCATTCAATCCAACCCATGGAGAAAATTGAAGAATATATAACTGTTGCCAAAAGCCGTTAAAGTCAAATCGCTTACCACTGTAACTAACCGGAGTTAAAGCCACCTATTTGGGCAAAGATTCAACAATATCAATAATAGGTAAACTAGTATTTATGCAACGGGTGTAAAATACATGGAAAATAAAAAGATTATGCTTGTTAAAATATTAATATAAACAAAAATAATCTCCATATTTCTACTTCATGCAACAAGCAACAGTCCACTTTTTGTTTTTAGTAATGCGCCTATCCTCAACTTTCTTTTTTTTTCTTTTTTCTTTTTTTTTTTTGTTCACGACGACGAATACGAAATGACTGACATTTCTTTTGCAGTAGCTTTCCAACAGTACATTTCGCCTCTGCTTCCGTAATACTTGTAATAAGACTCAATCTATGTGGAATAGCCAATCACTGACCCACACTTAATCAAGTCCGTAGGCCCGTTCTCTAACTTCCAAATGAATAATTCTGGTACATAAAAGCAGTAATAAGAAAGCAAGCTCCATGAACTATGAGCACACCCTGTACCTTTATTCCTTTGCATATATGTGTGTGTGTGTGTGTGTGTGTGTCATATATAATAGTTAAGCTACACTTTTGTTCTGAATCAGCGGTAATCTTTCTGGATTAAAAAGAAACAAAAAATTATTGGATAGAAATAGTTGATGTCCACTGCTTACCAGCGATCCTCATGAGGTAGATTTTGTATACAACTCATGATACATATCCCCTCGGACAAAAGTGTTGTTATCTCTCTTGTTTACTCGCTTTTTCCAGCATTACCTGGCGCTGAATTTTTTTATATTTATTTTTCTTTTCCGGGATGCTTTCGCATAAATCGGAAAAGATGGTATGTATATGAAAACTTATCTCAATTTGGTAAAAAGAAAAACTTGGGAAAGGTCGAGGTTCAATTGATGATGAACTTTGCACTTGGAATTTGGTCATGCGAGAAGTTCTCAAACTGAGTAACATTGATGATATCTCGCTGATGGTTTCTACATCTCATTCAGCAATTAGAACGATGTGAAGCTTCAGTATACCGTATGTCGAATTGGAGGCTAAGAACACTTCTCCCCAGTCCTATATAAAAGTATCGAAAGTAGTCACTGAAATCATGAGTCGCACAAGCATGCAGCGTAACAATAGCAACATTATTTGATCAAAAATAGCACCTATCCCTCTCGCGAAAAAGAGCAAAGCAGTGCAGCAAACGACATTATTCAGAGTAAAACTGTCTTTCCCTCTAGCGAAGTGTGCCAAGAAGTATCAGCAGAAAACAAAAACTGATCGCAGAAAAAGTGCTTTGTCAAATTGCTGGTGACTCTGAAAGGAAAGTATGACGTTTTCGTCATAACTGAATCATCGTGGCTGTTCAAGATAGGGGTCATTGCTTGATTTATTTCCCATGGTACCCAGATATCCTGAAACATTCCCAGTAACGTTTGAAACAACATTACTCAACCAGGAGGTGCTTCGTGTCAGTATGCTGGCATTGGTTGGGGATGTTTCTTCAACCGAGCTACTTCGCTCTTCTGCAAGAAGTATGTCGAGTCGTCTTTTAACCATATATGCCTTCACAGATTCAACACCTTCATTCACAACTTCCATCGGAGGCACTTTGAGAGGATTCTGATCCATGTTAAGCTTTTTCAGGTTGTCAAGCCGTCCAAATGTATCAGGTAGCTCATGGATCTGATTGTTGCTGATGTCCAGTTCCTTGAGATTGGTTAAATCACCAATTGTGCTAGGAAGTTCAGTCATGTCACTAAAATTACCACTAAGGTTGAGAATCTCAAGGTTTGACAATCTCCCAATTGATTGAGGCAGGCCATGAAGCTCGTTGATGTGCACATCCAGTTGAACCAAAGACCTCATTTCACCAATAGAAGTTGGTAGATGACGGATTTTGTTGAACTGAACGGAAAGATTTCTCAGGTTTACGAGTTCGTAGCCGATATTAGTAGGCAAGTAGCTTAGTTTATTGAAGCCTGCATTCAGTGTAACCAATGACCTACAGTAGATACACATTTTAAGTTACTCCCCAAATAATTTTTGTGTGCAGTACATGCTTATCGACAGTAGAAAGTAAAAGTTACCGGCAGTGACAAATGCTGTCAGGCAAGGCAGTAAGCTTGTTTCCAGATACATCCAAAACTTTCAACTTAAACAACAAACCCATGGAATCTGGTAAAGCCTCCAAGGCATTTGAGGCAAGATTAAGCTCCTCAAGATGTTCCAATCCAGCAATCGCATCAGGAAGTCCCTATAAAGAGTAAGGGCTGGATGATTAGAAGCTAAAGTTATAACTTGGGAATCCCCAAGCACAAACCCATATAACCATGGTAACATATCTTTCAAGAATTAATACATGATTAACAGTATCGCTTCAGCTACGATTTTAACCAGATTGCAAGGCTTGGTTTTCAAATAGACAAGAGCCTCATGGAGTAATAGACAGATCATTCTTATTGGTCTTGAAAATCAAGATTCAGCCACAGAAATTACAGAATAATCAAGTGAAAGTAAGGCAAAGAAGCCAATCAAAAACATAATATAGCAAGCAATCAATCCTGCAGACTTAAAACTGGTCAAAGAAATAACAGTACAAGAAACTGCAGTTAAGTTGACCATTAATTGGTGAATATTTGGGCTTGGATGCAGCTAAAAGCTCTAAAACATGCTCGTCATAGGCTTTTACATGGTCTTCAGTAATTCAGCAACCGTCAACTGGCATGGCCGAAGATCTAAACATGGGCCATCAGCTGGACCATCATCACCTTCAAGGCTGGAGGACACTATTTGCCCCCACTACCTTCAAGGACACTATTTGCCACCACGGCCTTCAAGGCACTCATTATTGGAGATAACTACTGCCCCATAGAGTAAACACGTACGGATAAGAAATATAATACTTATAAAGGAGGCCTACCCGTTTCCTATTCCAAGCAAGACTTTTCACAACTTCCAAAATATTTTAACAGATGAAGCCCAGAATTATACTAAACATATGGAAGCTTCAACCAAGTCGGCTTCTAAAAGCCTAGAAAAATGAAGGTGCTTGCAACCAAGAAAACACAGTTCGTGAAGATAAAACGAGTTCCAAAGGAGGAGCATTATCTTATGATGATATAGAGTAAAATCTAAGCATGCCAACGATGCGGACTCTCAGGTAAGGTGAAAAATGATCTAAACTGTTTGCAGATAAGTTATATAAATTTCCTTTACCTCAAAACATTGAATAGTCTAGGGATCAAAGTAGTCAAGTTTGTGTGAATGCAAACCCTTGCTGGAAAAGAGTTTCTCCCAAGAGGTTGGCTCTCTTTATCCTTAGGCAAGGTTCTGTTTTTTCTTTTTACAGAACTGTTGTACCAATGGTGATTTCACAACGGGATCCAGAAATTTTTCACAAGTCTCTTTCAGCAAAGCATAACTCATGCAAGGCATCCTTGGCAAAAGGAAAGGGCGGCAATTGATTACCTCATTCCATACACAATGCTTAACTGAATCTTTTAAACCTATGAGCATTCACTGGCACTATTTCTATCATCACAATTGAATAGACAGACTACCTGAAATATGCTGGCAAAGTGGCGATCAGGAATATTGCAGAGGTGCATATAAAGAGCGAGACGAGCATTATGATCTAGAATCTTTTTTTTTTTTTCATTTTGGACTAATCTAACTTAAGGCCTGAAGCGGATTTTCATTTCCTTCAGCTGGTACGGATAATTTTTATCATAAAGTGGTAACTTTCCTTGACACGAAATGGTTTTCTTTACATGTTCATCAAAATCCTTCTAAATGAGGGACTCCTATCAGGATCCAATGGAAAAAAATTAGTTCAAAAATACAGACACGATATAAAGAATGGCAACAAGAATTGCCATTCTCTCAGTGGAAAAAAGAGGCACCATGTATGGCACAGATCATTCCATAAAATCAGAAACAAGAAGAAAAGTATGCCCAGATTGGTACCTAAATGTGAAATTTGCTCAATGTAATGTTTGACATTGTTAATTAGGAAGTTATTCTCAAATATAGACAAGTGAACCTGGAAAGCATTCTCAAATATAGACAAGTGAACCTTCACACCAGCAAGAATCGATACATGGAAATCAAACAAGTACATAAATTGACATTTTTATAAGGTATTGTTGAAGACCTCGAACTCTAGGAATAATATCCTGTGCATCTTCAAGACTTCAAGCCTACACAGATAGTTACCATAATATTTACTTAACAGCTTTATCTGGCATGGGTTAAATCAACTGTGAAGCTGCAAACTAGGCATTTTCAAAAGCACTTAAACGTGGATATAACCAGATTCTACATAATAGCTGCAAGGATACTACAACTTAATTTGGTTATAGACCCAGGTAACTGAGAGTTTAAATGACAATTCCAAATCCTTGTCAGAGACATTCTAGGCAATTGTCCTTGTCCCTTCAAGAACATCTGATAAAAAGAAACATAATCTTCCCCAACCTGTGGATGTGGAATAAAGATCATATACTTATACTTAACAGCACATGCTACCAGCAGGACAGATCAGGATAAAAGGCACATCATCCTAAAACCAATCCTTCATGTGTCTTTTTATACAAAAAGAAGAAGAAGAAGATGAAGAAGAAATTACAGGCATATACAGAGAAAACAGATGAGTGACAACTTGTAACAGGTTAGAACGCTAGTAACCTAAAACAACAGACCAGAACACAAAATATTCTAACGAAGCTATAAAGAGCATCATAAACAAAACTTTAATTCTCAAGGAATAAAACCCTTGGGATCAAACTGATCCAACAAAAGCTTCATCAATGGTACACCTTTGTTTCTCAAAAACTATTTCACCATCTTACAAAACATCTAAATGATATGAAAAAAACTCTATTTCCAAGGACGTGCCCTCGGCTTGAAAAATGTTTAATGAATCCCTCCATAGCTCAGTTCTAATGTATAAAAAACAGGTTTCACTAAAGGAAAATACTGTGTGTCTGCATTTTGGACCAAAAACGTCAAGTAGAACCCAAAACACCTAAAAGGACATAAATCACACACAATCCTAATAGCTTGTCAATGAGTTTCCCAATTACACCCAGAATCCTGAAGCCTGACCTCTAACCATGTTCTCCAAGTTGATACTAGGAATTAGAGCCCTCTAACCATGTTCTCCAAGTTGATACTAGGAATTAGTGCTTTGACAATAAAGACCTAATTAACAATATCTGTTATGAAATTGCACCAAACAGAAAATACAAGAAGATTAGGGAAAAAAAAAAAAAAAAAAGAAAGAAAGGATGATTGGAAACAAACATTTATGACCATGATGGATCCAATTGGAGAAGGGTCAATAGAAGAGTCGAAACACGGATTCCAACACTAAATCTTCGTTGGGCATGCTTTGGATGGCATGGAGCTCTTTCAAGAAATTGACTAACTTGCAGAAATGTTAAACAGGGGAATTCATTAACTGTTCATAGTAATTCATTTAAACATTTATCTATCAAGCGTGTTTCAATACAATCTCAAGTTCTAAATCTTTCTTTCAAAGGTTTATACAGGCGAAAAACTTTCCGCAATTGTTTTATACAGAAAAGCTAATGTTTAGAAGAGTGAAGAAAGTATGACAGTCTCAATTGGTTTTAGTTTTGTAACCTGCAAACATAGTACCCACTTAAGAGGAGATTTCAGATCTGAAATGAATACAAATTGCTGCAACAGATTTCTCCCTCGGATGCGAAACAACTCTGCCTAGGTGTAATGCAAAGAGTTTCCTCTTAAAAAAATATGGGCTCTAGGAGTTACTGTAAAAATCTAAGAGAAAACAAGCTGGACAGTCTGCTAAATTTCTAACCAACTCAGTAGACAGACAAAATTTCCCATAGAAAATACTAATGTAATAAAGGATTTATCGTGAGTTAATAAAGGTAAAGGTCTCTTATTCTGAAGTTCAGTTCTCTGCCTACAGAGAGACAAGGAGTCTTAAGGTCTGTTGAACACACACTTGTGCTGGATCACTTTGAATGAAATAGATAAATCTACCATAGAGCCAATTCAGTAAGCAGACAAATACTTTAACGAAGGGTTTACCCGTAAAATACTTTGTTAACCAAGAGATGATGCAATCCCAAGAGATAACCTTCCTAAGAAAGAGAAATAGGGGGCCAATATAATAATAAAAAAACATCAGAACTTCTTTACCAGGGTTTCTGAAGAGAAAGGAAAGAACTAAACATTTATTATAAAATAGCAAACCCAAAGCTATAAACAGAATGTTAATATGTTACAGAGATAGATCATCCCTCGCCCCTCCCATGTTTCCACCACCGAATAATTTGAGCAAGGTCATGAAAGAAAGCTGAATATCGGGTGCAGATCACTTTAAGATACAAAATGGTATTCAATCAGCCGAAAAATAAGATTCTGAAAAACTCAATAGAGGACAAGAGCATGGATCATTCACCCCTAGAATATGGAAAAAGATTAAAGACCTGTCAATCATAATGTTGATGCAGAACTAAACTACTAGAGTTTGAAAAATAAATTAAAAAAAAAAAAAAAAAACCAGGCACACTGAATATATTCAATGTAGATTAAGGTTAACTCAAATTCCAGCTCTTAAAATCACTTAATTGAATTTGGGAAACACAGCTTCCAACTGACCTCATTATACAAAACTATACAAGTATCCAATCCTCATTGAAGATATAAGCCTCACCAGTACTACAAGAATATCTTCATTTCGCCAAAGGTTAACAATCTCCAGAAAGAATGCCGACCAGACTGGTCTATCAACTACTTATCTCAGTTTATAGTGAAATCAATGCATCAAGATCCAACATAGTATGATAAAGACATTCAATGCAAATAATAATGATAACCAGAAACTAATTAACCAATGAATTAAGTATTTCTATATATTAAAGAATTGAGAATACCTCAAGCTGATTATGGGACAAATCAAGAACCAGCAGTGACTTGATCCTCCCAAAGGCCTCAGGTAGCAATCTCAACTCTCTTCCAGCCAAATTCACCCTCTCAACCACTCCACCCCCTTCAACGTCCTTCAATATGGCCACCACTTCTTCATTCAACTCCTCATCCACAACCACACCCTTCCCTTTCACATCCGCCACCGCAGCAACATTTCCGCCAGCCACAGCCGCTTCATAGATCCTCTCCAACCTCGCCTCCGCTTCAGTTAATAGCTTCCCATAAGAATCATGCATCTCATCCAAAGCCAACACCGCCTTATACATCTCTCGCTCCTTCTGCAAAGCCTTCTTCCCTTCCACCACCTTCCCTTCAGCCTCCGGCGACAGCGCGATCTCCTCCAGCTGTCCCGACAAACTCCCATCGATCTCCGCAAGCCTCGCCCTCGCAGTGTCCACTGTCTCATGATCCGGCCGCTCACCTAGAGCTTTAAGCATAGAACGCGTCTGCGCCACGTCGGCAACGGCGGATCGCATCTCGGATATGATCTTAGGATCAGTCAGATGAGGCATCCGTTCCGTCAGCTCAAAGTACGGAGGCTTCTCAACCGAATCCGACGGCACCGCCGGGGCTTCGATGTCATGCTCCCCTGAACCGGCAGCCCGTTTCATGCTGGGCAATTTTTCCATTACGTAGGACAAAATCGGGAAGTTCTTAAGGTTTGGATCCATTTTTCAAAGCCCTGTTCAGTGAAATTAAAGAGAAAATTGAAGGAAAACACAAAAGACAAAAGACCGATAATTGTAAAAGAAATCGATGGAGAAATTTTGGGATTTTCTGATGCGTCTTTCGGAATACTGTCAAACCGATAGAAAACAAAGGGGAAATCCTAGGGAGATTGTTTGTTCTTCCCTCGAATCTGATGTTGAGGAAGATTGGTTTTGCTATCCGAAAAGGAAGAAGAACGATTCTCTCTACTCAAAATGGGCTCAGACTGACTGAGATGTAATTGGGAGAACTTTTGTTGCTTGTCTGGGACGGAGAGAGTGAGTAAACCTTAGCAAATGACGTGGAATGCCAGGTCGGACTGAATCCGATAAAAAAAAAATTCAAACTCACTCTAATCACGTAAATAGAGATCAAACTCTGGTATGGCGATGTAATCATATGATTACTGACTTTTACTCCTAAAAACTACCTATTCAACTCGAATTTCAATTAATTTTAAAAAAAAAATTAATTAATTTTAACAATGATTTCAGCGTGAATAAAAATAAAAATAATGTCTACAATTCTATGCTTGTAAAGGATCTTCGCAACACTTTGGTAATACTATTATGTATCATTTTACTCATACTCAACCTACTAAATGGTCTCTTATCATTATATTAAGATTATCATCAAATTTTGTGTGAACGATCAAAAACTACTTTTTAATCCATATTTTTTAAGTAATAAAATTTAAACATTTTTAAAAATAGATCATAAATGAAATTAGAAAAATACTCCATATTAATTCTTTTATAACAATGGAATTAAATAATAAATTTTGGAAATTAAGTTTATCATGTCTTTTATGCATAAACTTATATATTATTAATGTCGGGTTGATTTTCATTTATTAACTTATGTTATTATTAAAATGTGAAAGTAACGAATTAAATATTTCCATTTTTAATAGTCACAAAACGAAGAAAAACAAACGGAAAAAAAAAAAAAGAAAAAGAAAACGTGTATGTAAACCGTCATTTCAATATTAAACCCAGTGTATAGTAATATTATCAAAATTCAGAGGACGTATGATAGATCAGGCTAAATCTGGGGCTGAAATGTATAGTTCGCACTATAATTATTACGAGTAATCTCTCCTATCCAATTGCTACATAAAATTGACACTGTTTGCCACAAAGTTCGAGCCTTGAAACACATTCTCCAACTGGTAATTCTTTTTTCTAATTTATTTTCTATAATATCGGAATGAGATAAAATATCTAATAATATTCACTAAAAAATAAGATTTTAGGGTGCTCATTGAACCAATGATGGTATGTACTTGGCGCACACATTTTGCTTTCATGTAGTTATAATATTAATGTAGATAATAACATATACCTTTTAGAACTCTTTATTAAAATATTTATTATAAAATTACTATAACATTCAAATGCTAAACAAGTTGATTTTGGTTTTAGTTCAATGTAGTACAATTTTTATTGATAGTGGGAGCTTAAATTACTCAATGACATCCTTAATGATTACCAGAGTGATTGAGAGATTAATGAGAGTATTGAATGATAAGGAGGGAGTATTCATTTAGATTGGTCATACGTTGTTAAGGTTTTATTTTTCTGACTCCCAACCCTACTTCCTATTATCCAAATTAAGTTTGTTGTGTTTTATTTTCCTCTTATTTTTCCTACGGTCCAGCTAAACAATCCATTTTGCTGAACCAAAGATAATATAATACGAAACACGACAACCATGTATTTCTTTTGTCCCAACATCATTATCCAGTTTGAGATTTTATTTTTAGTACTCCCTCTGTCCCAAAATTATTGTCCAGTTTGAGATTTCACTTCTAGTACAATTTGAACCAAAAATGAAAACTCAAACTGGACAATAATTATGGGACGGAGGGAATATAATTTAAATTAAAAATGAAAACTCAAAGTGGATAATAATTATAGGACAGAAGGAGTAGAAAATAGAAAAAAACATACAAAGTTCGGTTTGTAGTAACTTTCACATGGGTAACTTTCACATTGGTCATGAAATGTCAGCGTCACAATTTATTATACTATGTGTTGCATTTAGACATTTTCTTCATCTTTTGTTTTATTACGAATGAGCAATTTTATTAGAAAAAAGCAAAATTTCTATTTTATGTAAATAATTTTAAACATTTGAAAATCTAATGTGAAAAATAAAATTGATTAATTACCAAATTATAATACCAACGAAAAATCACAAAAATGACGCAAAACAATAAATCTCAAATTCAAAAGTGTAATATTTTTCTTTGGAGAGGGAGAGAACTAATTTGGTGATCCCGGAATGCAAATTATCCATATGTCTTAAAGCAATTGTCTAGTCTAGTACGCCATATATATAATATAGTCATGTCATTTCTATAAAAAAAAAGAAGTCTAGATTACTTAACCTAATTATCAAAGAAACAGCTCCGGAATTACTAAATATTGTAGGAGAAAAGAGATTTTTTTTTTAAATTTAAATTGCAATCATAATTTATCCGTATATTGATTCCTCTTTTTCTTCTTTTTTATTTGTTTAGTGTTATCTTCCCTTATATATACCAATCAAACCAAGACTTTTGCCTTTGAAGATGGACCAAGAATAAAGCTCTATGACACTAAAAAAACATTTTTATTCTCAAATAAATGAACGATATACGTAGCAGTTTTCTGTGATACTTTTGTGTTACATTCGACATGACGTTAGTTAAAAAAACAGCGCGTGCTAGTATGTTGGTACCCTAATCAAATGATAAGTTCATCAACATTGACATACTCAACAAGTTGGGGTATGGGAGGTCAGTATATACACATTTTTACTTGAAATATTAGAGAATGTATTGGGAGCTTTCATAAATTTAAAGACGATGAGTAGTTCGTGTAAAACTCAAGAAATATTGATATACAACTAGTCAACAAATCTCATTGAAGTAATAGTAGTATTAAATTGATGGGTCTGCCGCTTTTTTTAAGGGTATAATTCATTCATTTTAATTTTACTTTCAGGATAAGAAAGAAAACTCTAGTAAACAATGAAAAAAAATAAAAAACTGCGAGAGTTCTGACAACAATGTGATGAATTTCACATCCAAAATTGATTAGTTTAGAAAGTAATTAAAGACATAATTTTCTAGACATGCCATTATTTGCCCTCCTCAGGTTGATGATTATCAGTGGAAGTTTCATCTGAAACTCCTGAATTCGAACCCTGAATCCTGTTTTCATCTCTATGATCATCATCATCTCTGTCTTCACTGTTGTTATTATCTTGATCACTCCGATGATGATCATCACCACGATCAGGGCTAATTGAAGTTGCAGCAGCAGCTTGTGATGTTGATACCACATTTTCTACATTCCTTTGGCAATTAGCTGATCCTCCTTGTCCTTCTTCATCATCACGAAAAATAGCAAAGGCCAAATTCAGCTTCCCCAGGATCCGAAACGACCATAACTGGACTCTTAACCCGATTCGGAGCGAATTTGTCTTGACTATCTGGTTCCAATTTCCATTCAGTATGTATGGTTTGCTGCTTGTTCCCACGTTCCAACGTCTCAGTGATATATCTGCTACTGTATCGGATGGCTCAATTATTGGCACAGTGAAAAAATTGGTATGATTTGATTTGTTGTTTTCAGCCGAATTGGCATCTTCTTCTTCTTCTTCTTCTCCACTATTCCCTTTCAGATGTTCTTTGAGATATAGATCTTCTGGCTCAGTAAGGAACTTGTTTCTTAGCTTTGATTTCGGAACAGAAAAGCGATTCTGGTTCTTGTCGATGTCACTCTTTGTTAGATTCTTCTCTGTTACCAAAATAAGCTTCAAATCATCATCATCCCCTGCTCCTCCAGCTCGCGCTTTTTCGCGAATTTTCTCCATCACTTCTTCTGGTAATTCTCGCGGGACCCCAAGATTCCGACGATCTATGTGTGATCTTTTCTCCTTCTTCTTCTTCATCAGTAACCCACTCTCCTCGTAATCCTTCTTGATGACCTTCCTCTTCTTATTCTTCTTCTTCCTCTGCTCTGTTTCTTCAGGGTCCCCTGTTTCTTGATCGTCATTATTCTCCAATTTCTTCTTCCTATCATCATTAGCCCAGAAATCGTATTCCACAGGCATTTTCACTGATTTCCCGGGATGTTTTCGCTTCGAATTATCACAAACACCGCCTTCTCTAATCACAATTCCTTTATTCCGGGACCGGCCAAAATTCAGAGTATTAACACATTGAATAGGTGTTCTTTCCTCATCAGTATCAGTATCTTCATCATCATCACTACTATCATCACTCTTGTATATCATGGGCCTCTTCAACAATCCTTCTCTCCTTTCAATTTCCTCACGAGACTGAGAATTACGGCCTTTCTCGTGATCGGAATCATGGAACATCTCATATTTATACTCACCTTCTTTTGTCAATATCTTTCTCCCTACTACTTCTCTAGAGGTCTTTGGACGCCGACATTCTTCAGGGACGACAAGGGGGAGATTTATCTCAAACGCGGGCGGTGGCTCCGGCTCATCATCGGAATCTTCCTCATGATTCCGGCCACCTACTGATAACCCTCCTGGATATCGCCTAAGTTGTTCTTCCTTAGCTATAGATATTAATAACTTCAGCAGAGGGGGGATCATTGTTCTTTTTTCTTTGTGGATTTAATACAAAAAAGAAGTTTACTATTACCATTGGAATTCAACCTCGTATATTTATAGGGATGTTTGAGAAGAAGTTATAAATTCTCTTCAAGATGGGAATCGGCTTCTATATTTCGTTCACGAGGAAATTTCAATGTAGTTACGTTTTTAGTAATTTCCTAATTTAAACGGGAAATTTTTGCCTATGCTGCCCTTGATATTTAATGACTGCAAAGTTAGAATTTTTAATTTTTCCTTTTCGAATAATGCTTTGCTGATTGTTATCATGGTTTTGAAAAAGATAAAAGAATATTAACTACTCAATGGTTGGAAAATAATTTTTCTTTTTAGAAAAAATGACGTTATTATATTGTTGACAATAGGGAGATCATCCAGGCGTTGAAGCCCTAATTAGTAATTATGCCTAAATGACAGAATCAAACTAGACAATCGTGATTAAGTTCGTCTCCTTTTACAGGTACCTTGAACACCCATAACTAACGATCTCCTCCTCAGTAAACATAGAACAAAAAACAAGAGCCCAACAAATTAGTTTTCTTTTCGGAAAAAAAAAAACACCAAAACAAGCATATTGATATTGTATTTCCCAAAAGAAACCCCCAAAAAAAAAACCCACAAAAAACAAGTATATTGTCTTTCCAAAAACAAGGATATTTTCTCTGCATTTGTAATTGATTTCGTTTTGCCTTGTAAGCTCGTCGTATTTTTCATTGCTCTCGTCATCTACCTTATATTTTTCGTTAGATTCACACTGACTGACTCTAAATTGGGAATCATTAAAAAAAAATAATTCCCGATCCAATTAGTCTTAAGGCTCTATTTTACTTCAATAAACTGGCCATAGAATTGGAGCGAAAAAATTTGGCCACAAGATAGTAAAACTATTAGGCTCTATTTTATTTTTTTTTTGGTTTTATTTCTGTTTATTTTTGTTGAACCATCCTCCTCCAACATTTTTTTTTAATTTCCTTTTGAGAAATCATTTTAAACTAGTATGTTTATGAGAGTTTAAGAAAGCTCACAAAGTGAATTAATTTCGAGAAGAGTTAGAATATAGCAAGCGGATTCAGACCGGGTAAGCTTTCCTGTGACCGCCTCAATGTTGAACTGCAGTATGAACGTATAATAAGTTGTTAATGAACCATTTTTTAAAAACCTTTTGAAAGGATGCTGTTCAATCTCGAAAAGAGCTAAATGTGATTTGGTCGATTATGTTAAAATATTTGATATCATTTGTTTAGATAATGTTTGATTGATTTGATCTATCTAGTAATTAATGTTAAGATGCAATTATATCAACTGAATAAATACACAATATTTTTAACCATTGACATATATTTGAAAATAATAAAAAAGAAAAAAAAAATCTAAACAAAACAATCACTAATTCTTATGTCCAATATCTAAAAAAAAACGCAATGTGTGCAAAATGCTCCCTTAAAAATAAATAGAGACTTATTAATTTGGCTTTGCTATCGAAGTGAAGGGACAACTAAGAAAATGACTCTACTTAGTTTGGTGGGAAGAAGACTTCTTCAGCCATCCTCTTTGATCTGAACTGCTGCTCAACTTCAGGGGTAACATTGAATGACGCTTGCAACACTTCGGGGGATAAGGCCTTCCACACTGATGTTCTTCCAGCCATATGTGTGAAAATTGGGCTGCAATGAAGACAAATTGACATCAGTTTCAGGAAAGCAAGAAAACAACATAAGTTAACTAGCATTGGAAAATTTGAATTGATTCACTTACTTGGGAGTTGTGACAATGGAGAACCATTCCAAGCCACTATTATCCGCAATCTTTGAAACAACACAGAACCTTGGAACAATGAAGAGGTTACCGGCCTTGACGGTAGTCTCAAGCACCCGCTTGCCATCAGGGCCGACAATCTGAGCACGGCCACTGCCCCTGACAATGTAAGTAACTTGCAGAGCCGAATCACAGGAGAAACCTGGAGAACACATGGCGTGACCTAGGATGCGGACAAGATCTCCGCCAAAGCCTACCTCACCTATCAATGGCAAGTTTTTGGTGTTCAAAACCACCACTTTGCCTCCACCTTTGATGTCCACATCCAAGGGAGCTTCAATACAGTTTAAGGCCATGCCTTTACGATGCTCAGCCTTGGGCTCAGGCATCTTGAATCCGGCATCAACCTTGACGATTCCTTTGCTTTTCTGGTTCCCGACTAGGGCTTTCACAGCATTATCGTCTACATTCCATGCCCTGCTAACAAATTCAGTTGAGAAGCCGGTGAATATACCATTAGTGCCTGTCAAGAAGAAATCGGTGAATTCTCCTTGTTTGTGAGCTATATCAGTAGTTCCCAAGAACAGGACAACGAGTTCAGTGTCCTCCTGGTTGTACCACCAGGAAACCACACCGAATGGAAGGGCGATAGAGTCACCCGTCTTGATTGCAATAACCTTTTCTTCCTTCTCTGGAAGAACAATTCCAGCAATACCATTACCTGAATCAATTAAAGGTTGTGAAGCCATTTGAAACCCGATATTTTTGGCAAAAACTAAAAAGAAACATCATGATATTTATATCATTATATGTGTATAAAAAGATAAGCAGAAACACTGAATGGAAAAGCAGCACAAAGATGCACACTTTATCGATCATGTTCTGATTTATTCAAGAAAAATCCCCACCCCAAACAAACATTATACATGTGTATGAAGTAGGTTATTGAGTTTCAAAATATTCACATGAAGGTGCTACAATCCAGCAACCAAACAAACCAAAAGGGACCTAAATATTAGAAAATGCAACTGGCGGCCCAGTCACTTTCAAATGACACCTCATTCTTAAAATCGATTTTTCCACAGGCCAAGTCAACTCTGCTTATTTAACTAATACTAGTATTACATTATTGTCTCCTGAAGAAAATTTGGAACAAAATGGCTATGAGGATTTAATTCAAACATATAGGCATAGATACTAATGAACACACGAGATTAGAAAAAACTACTACATAATAACACTATGGCGATCACGAACTGCAGAAAACAAACTATTGCACTATTAATCAGAATTGAACACAATCTCAAAGCAGAAGTAAGTTTTGCAAATGTAATGGAAAATCAAAAAAGAAAATTTTGACTTGATCCCAGAAAATCATCAACCAAAACTGAAACAATTGATTGTCCACCATACCAATTTCGCACACCGTCAAACGATCTATAGTCTGAAAATTAGCAAGACATTTAAGGAAAACAAGATCACATACCCTGAAGGACATAGGCCAACTTATGAGAATCAGAGTAACGGGGCAGAGCAAGTCCATTCTTCTCCAGAGCGAGCTTCCCAGCACCAATGTTTCCCTGCTTTAGCATTGGAAGGTCTTCTGGGTTCCATGCATGGTAACTCCCACCATCACTGCCATAAATCTTATTCGGCAACTTAGGACTCAAATCAATATCCATCTCTGTTTTACTTAGGAAGGGGCAATTGAAATATGCTCAATCAAAAAGATCAGATAAGAAGGGAAAGAGATTATGAATATGAACAACCTGGAATTGGGGTGGATTTATATAGATTTGGAAGATCGAGATAGGACGGGATGAGATAACAAAGTAACAGGATTTCCGCGGAGGAGTTTGGTAGAATTCGATTCGATCAAAGGAGATTTGTTGGACTCTTGGAGTGGGTGTAGGAGACGATTTGACTGTGCTACTAAGTAGTAGATCAGAAAGGCAAAAATAAAATTACAATAATATTATCTTATATTCTTCTGTAATTCATGCCTTTTTTTTGGGTTACCTAATTAATCTATTATACCTAGTATTGTGACCGTGCGTTGCACGGTTGAAACAGATTTGATTTCTTAAAGTATTTCAATGAACAGATTGATAAAAACGTAATAATTATTTGAAAGATCCTTATCTCATATTTCTATAACATTAATTTTTTTTTCATTTTGTCAAATTATTTTACTAAAAATTTTTTGTTGTGATAACATACTTTTTGGTTGAATAGATTATTATAAAAAAGAAGGTTTTGATTATTTTGTTTTAGATTAAGATTTTAAAAAAGAGTTTCATTATTTGATGAGCCTAAAAATATGATATAAATTATATAAATTAGTAGAAGAAAATTTAAATGTTGGCTAAACATCAACTATATCTTGCTCGAAAAAAATATGAAAAATAGTATCGGTTAAACCGGCATCAACCGGTAATTAAACCAAAAACTGAGAAACTGAAACTGTAAAACCGATTAATTAATGATTCGAGGACGAATCCTCTTAAAGAAGGAGGGGATGATGAGAATCATGTAGCCTTCCATGGTAATTCTCCCAGTGAGGGGAATGAGCTAGTCCTTCATTCTAGTTTTGGAATGCCAAGTTTACTTTGCAGGCCAATCAAGGAAAAAAAGATGGATCTTGACTACCTATGTGACAGGGGGTTGATTGAAGAGAGCTATGATCAAGGTAATGAGAATCTCAATAACTTTGGGGTTCAAACCAAAGGAGATGATTCGCTCATGGAAATAAGTGCTCAAGAGTATCAAAGAAGTTTGACTCTAAGTGCTCCATGAATATCATTGATCAAGCTAAAAAGAAGAATCATTTAGGTTCTTGAATGGACGGCTTATTTGATCAAAGTGTTCAAACTTGAGTCCATTGCTACACAATTAGATAGGTTGCAAACAATCTCAATTGTTTCAAGTGTTTTTCCAATCTTTTGGAGTCAATAAAGAGAATTCTACAGGTTTTGGAGTAAATTAGAGTAATGTACAACTTGAGGGGCACAAGACCAATATTCTACTTTTGGAAGGGCATTCAAGACAATTTACTTTAATATTTGGAGCTAATTTTCGGATTTAGAGTATTATCTAGTCTAGGAGTTTAATTTTTGAATTTATCTAGTTAAATAAGTCATGTGGAATGAATTAAACTAGAGTGTTTTGATTAGGAATCTTAGATTCCTTCTAAGTATTATCTTATTTGAGAATAAGTCATTTAGATA